TCTTAGATAACAATAAAAAATAAAATGCTATTTGAATATTGGACAAAGCAATTCTATCAATTCTTTAATATGATTGATTTCTGCTTTTAGTTCTTTGCTAGATTTTTGCTAGATCTTAATGTAGAAACCAATCGAAATAAAACATTTTATTTTCTGTAGTTATACAACAAGAAATTAATATTAAAATTATATTTTATACTATTATCTTATATTAAAAATTGTAAAGTGCTGTAGCCTACTCTGTAATATTTTATTAAATTCTTTATATTATCTTTATCTACAGAATTATTTCTTTTCTGTTTTTACGTATAATGTTTTTATAAAAATATTTTCTGCTTTTATGTTATTCCCTAGAATTTTTAGAGTGAATTTTTTTAATTAGCAATAAATAAATAATTACTTCAATTAAGTTAATAAAATATTCGGATACAATTTCGTGTTCAGATTTCTGGCATATTTTAAATAACATTACATGATCGAAAGATGTAAAAAATTATATATATTAAACAACAAATAGATATTACCATGATTACAGGTGGACGTAAGTATTAGCACAATAAACTCGAAGATACAAATAAATTCATACATGCTTCTTGAGACATGCAAATATTCTAACGCGCATCTTGACGGCATTGGATATTCCAATACTATGTCTTCATTTGTTTTGTTGATTTGGCTATCTTGATCATCAACCAGATCTTCACCAAGAAGAGGCATTAGCGAATATATTACCACACTAATGTAAGCGAAACACACCATGAAACAGGAGAGAACTCTTCCCATAAAAGCGTGTTTCCGCATGATGGCACGATAGTCTGCGTTTTTAATTGTCAAATAATCATTCCGGGCAGAACTGTAATTGTCAGTTAAATTTTTTGCGTAAATACGGAAACATATAATCTTGAACACTCCGAGTAGACCGCAACAGGCTAACATGAGACTGTCTATGTTTTGCTCCGTGTTAGTACAACCCATGTGAAACTCCATGGAAGGCAAGATCACTATTATGCTCTGTTGATTGGTAAATGTATATTTTCTCAATTAAACAGCTTTTGTGTCTACTAAAAATATGCCCCAATTCCAAATCGATGGATTTTTGAAAATATTAAAATTTAATTATGAAATAAAATTTTTAGAATTGGAATAAATAAGCTTCCATTTTAGCTCTTTACGTATATATAAATACATTATAATCTGAACTAATTGAAAGATATGCAAAATTGAACACTTTATAACTTTAATATTAAAATATTAAAATATACAAAGCAAAGTTATTACAATGGATAATATAATGATTATATATAAATCTTTTTGTGTTATAAACAAAAATTTAATAGAATAATATCAATAGGAAATTTTTCTTTGATTTTATATGTAAATTTTATTCATCAAATTTATTTTCTGTGTATGCGATCTATTCTTTTTGATACGATATTATATCAAATATGTTACATTAATGCAATTCTTAAATACAAATGATGAAGTCTCAAAATAAGCGACATAACACATTTTTAGATTTTCTTAGAAATAGTTGTGCTACCTTCTACATAAACAAAAAATAAATTGTAAGTTCTAAGTAGAAATGTCTTCATTAAACGATTTACAACAGTTAATGATTTGTATGTCTATGATATTCTCTATTAATGATTTATTAATTCTAAAAAAACTCGTTTTTCTCTTGAAAAAAATGCAATTCGCTACGTCATCACTAATAGGATATTTATCGTTTAAAAATTCAAACACTTGACATTATTATTGATATCAATGAAGTTTTATTTCAAATATTGATGTTAACGTAAAAATTCTATCCACGTCGTGACAAAAATCGTCGAAACTGAGACAATACCAGACAACAAGTGACCAAGACACATCGTATCAATGAAAAAATATTATAAACTTGAAGTGGCCAAAGGCCAATGGGCCACGTTAACAGTTTGAAGGGAGTCATCGCATATGCGACATCGTTCTTCCACCGCTGACTTGCCATCAGGTCAACGTAATAACTATAACTGATGCAATAACCAATAATGTGCCCGGTGCATCGATACAAGGCAGGTATTATGATTCATTTTTTATTCAACTTGAAACATATATATGTTTATCAACCTATCTTCGCTATCTTAACGTATTATCTGAAAGTGCAAGATATTATGCTTTTACGCCAAATTGTTTTTGAAGAATTTATATAACCATTTCTTCTAAATTGTTACGAACATTGAACTATATTCTTTTCTGCATGGAGAAACCGACCATTTACTTGAACAATTCAGTTACTATGTTACTCTCTGTGTAGTTCTATTTCAATTTCGCAAACGCAACGCAGACGATGTCGATTGAATTTTATGAATTTTTCCGTTCAAAAGTGAAGTCAAATTATAGGTCAGTCATACATGTCTCGCTTTTATTTCGTAAGTCAGAAAGTAAAAAGCAAAAATTAAAATATATAATTTCACAGAATGTTTGTAGACGAATCATATCATTTACAATATTTATATAAATCGTACGAGAAATTGCATTTTTGAAGACAGAGTTTCTTTCTGTATAAGAAGCTGATATAGCTATATAAAAACATGCGTATCATTATAATGTATTAAAAGAGACTATAAGTTTTGTGACTAAAAAAATTTACAATTAACTAATGACAAATTAAACTATAATTCTAAAAAATACTTGATATTTAACTATTTTTGCAACAATTAATCTTATTATTATTCTTTTTTAAATGATTGGACGTAAAACGAGCATAATTGTGATAAGGAATTATCAATAGAAAAAAAAAATATATAATTTATATTAAATTTGTATTATCTATTAAACATATAAGCGAAACGTGGAGAATTAGTTGAGTGTCATCAAAATGACTGATATTAACAATGTCTTTGGCTAAATTTAAAAGCAAAATATCTCTTGATTGGCATAACTATTTCAGATTATTTCCAAAATCCGTTTTTCTTAAATCTTTTCGTGGAACAGCAACAGCTCTATATATAATAGGCTGAGCACTGCAATTGAAGAATTGCAGAGATGCATGCAAACATCGAAAAGGAAACATCGGTGCCAACATTCTCCGTAGATGTGCTGATTAACTAAAAAAAAAAATATATATATTAAAAGATACATATATCGTAGCAAATGATCTAAGCAATGAACAAGCAGTTTTTATCTTTTGAGGCAGTTCTATGCACATCTTTTTTAGATTTGGAGTTAATATGCTGTGAAGAAGGCGAGGTCGCATAGGATAGAAATAACCTAATCAATGGTATAATAATAAAATATGAAGAATTATCTGAAAGAAGAAATTTGCCCATACATTATATAAACTACCATAACAGTACGTCGTCGTATCGTAAAATAAATAAATGAAGAAGTATATAAGATATATTCAAAGAATACATGTATTTTTATTACAAAATTTTACTAGGTTTATGTGTATGTATAAACAACAGTGTACAGAATTAATAATTATTCTATCTCAAAAAAGAAAATATATAAGTACTGAAACTCACAATAAACATATACTAATTTATACACAAAAGTGGGTGATTATATATCTATCTTTTAAAATAAAAAGGATCTTTTTATATGCTCGCTTATGTCCAAAAAATATGTACTTCATATGTTAGAGAAAATAATATATTAATAAATAAGACAATTTTACTTTTAATTAAATAACTTTCGCTTGCATAATTTTGCAATTTATATTATCAGAAACAACAATTTAGATAATGGATGTAACATTTTGACGATTAGATTAATCTGCAATCTGCAAAAAACAGCGCGCAATTTTACAAACTTTCTGCCATGATCGAACTATTATGATCGAACAGCCATTACTCGCTGGAAAGAAAATTTGTTTAATATTTTTTATTCTATGATTTGCATTATACATTAAGAGTTACGGTGTCATAGAGCGTAAGCACCAGCTAAAGCAGTTTATTATTTATCGATCGGAATGCATTTCGCTACGTATCCCGATGTTGAATATTTTTGTAGTTTTGTAACCATTGCACATGGCCGGAAATGACTATTCGTCATATGTAATTCATAAAAACTATGTAGCTCTAATACATGTCATTGATCTAACAGTTTAATGATAAAGCATATGTCAGTTTCTCATATAGAGTTCCTTTGACCCTTTCGTTCCACTGCCCTTACTACAAGGGCAATGGAACGAAATATTACCTTTTTTCTTCAAATTTTTTAATAATTTTTTATATTTAACTAATTAATGTGCACATTGATATATAATTTATACTTCCGAAAATTTGATCTATTATTTTTACAATATTTTCTGATCATATTTTCAACAATTAAAAATATATATTTTTAGTTATAAACTTTTGTTATAATAAATTTAATAATATACTTTTTTTATAACAACTTCAAGCCAAAAACGCAATTTAATAAAGAATATTGTTTATATTGCGTATTACAGATTTTCAAACAGGCTTTACTTTCATCATACTACTATTTTAGAGACTCGAACTTAAAAAAAAATCATTTTATTAAAACAATGGTGAAAGGTTACATAATACTGTGCCTTTTATGCGTCGTCTACAGTACAGAGTAAGAAATAAGAGTAAGGAATTGCTCAATAATAGTCGAATGTAAGATGAATAATCAATTGGTCAATTTCTTATTTTTATTTCTTATTCCATGTATCGTAGACGACGCATTAATCTATCCTTTGTGATTCTTACTTACGAGAAAGTAAATCTCGTTGTTTTCATTGGCAATATCTATTACGTGAACGCTATTCTAGGAAGTAAAGAAAAACCGAATAGAATAGAATGAAAGGCTCAACATTATGAATTTTTTAAAATATCTAATAATGAAATAATAATGAAATAGTGTCATGAAATTAAGCCTCTAAATAAAAGTGAATAAAATAATTTGAATAATATAATTTCGTCAAAAAAATAAAAAGCGAAATTAAAATTTTTATTAAATATATACATATGTATATATATATATATTTCTAACAATATTTATTGAACAAGCATAATTTGTAATACAGAAAAATAAGAAGCGGAAATTTTCAACACATTTTTGAAACTATCAAGATCCATAATATAGAATTTGCCTACTTTTATACGAACGGGTACATTAGCACGAGCTATTATGAAACATACATCCCGTAAAATATTTGTAGGCAAGTCGTACCATTTACTTAAATAAATCGCGTAAGAAATTGCTTGCGTTTTTGATGATAGAATTTCTCCCATATAGCTGTATATGAACAGCTGTATCATTACTATATTAATAGAGCTTATACTTCTCATGATAAGAACAAAATCACTATTTACCAACGATAAAATAAATTGTAATCCTAAAAAATACCCGATATTTAATTATCTATTTTTGTAACAATTATTTTTATTATTCTTTTTTAAACAAATATTTAGAAATAAGATAAGCATATTTGTGATAAAGAATTATTGAAAAGAGAGAAATATAGAATGTGTGTTTTAAATTTAAATTACCTATTAAACATATAAACAAAGCGTGGAGAATCAGCTGAGCAATCAAAATGATATTGAGTACATCAACGATGTCTTTGGCTAGATTCAGAAGCAAACAGTGTCTCTCGATCAGCGTGACCATTTTACTTCGTTTCCAACAACCATTTTTCTTCCTTTCATGAAACTGCTGTAATTCTAGACTGAGCACTTCCAGTTGTCCACAGAGATGCATGAAAACACCGAAAAGAAAAACATCACTGCCAACATTCCCCGTGCATGTACTGATCAGCTGAATAGATTGGAGAATACACATACTGAAGCAAACGATCTGAGCATCGAATGGACAGATCATCTCTTGAGGTAGCTGCATTGCTTGCATCTCTTTCTCGGATTTTGCAATTAATGTTATGTTTCGTGAAGGCATCGTTGCAAAGGATAAAAGTGATTCAATTATCAACGGCATAATGACAAAATACGAGGAACCCATCTGAAAAAAGAAGACAAATCTGCCTATGTTAGTATAGCGGAACATAACTTGCCGATGATTCTGTTTTATGATATACGTCCAGTCATTTGATGCATTGACGAGGTTTTTCAACAAGTTGTCGCGATGCAACCGTATCAGCGCTATCTTTACGATAGTCAAAGTCCCGCATGACGCTAACATGAGGTGATCGATGATCATAACCAGAGTGATATTGTTGTGAAAATTAATATCCACGCCTATATAAACTATCATCATAGTCTGTCAATATAAAATAAATATATGAAAGAATATAAGATTATCGAAAATAAAAATTGGAGCGTAAGTCAAATGTAAATTAAGAGTAATAGAAGTATCAACTAAACTTTTAGGAAGCATAAATTGAAACAGCGTTTAAAAAGTAAACCCTCGCTGTTCCCATTTACGCTTTCTAAAAATTTTGTTGACACTTTTGTTACTTTGCCTTTACATTCGACTTACATTCCGATTTTTGCCAAGGAAAGAATATATTTTATTAGAAAATTTTATGCTATATACGTATAATTGTACAAAATTGATTATTATTTTCTATTTTAATCTTGCGCGACCTAGGTGGAAAAAATCAATGAGATTGATTTTTTCATCTGGTTCGTGGAAGTACAGTTAAAGTATAACATAGAATATGAAATATCCCACATAGCGAATTATATGTGGAGTATCACATCTCATATACTTCACCATAAATGTATTAATTTAATACGACTGGCAACGTCGCAATTCCGTCTACATGATCCTTATAGAAATTTAATACTAGTACTGACTAATTAATTACATATGTTAAGTATTAAAAGTTGTTAATAGCACTTTTAATATGTAATTAATGAAAACATGTAATTAATTGGCCAAAATTAGTATTAAATTTCTGTAAGGAACAATTTGAGCGCAGTATTTTTTAAAAAATTATGGAAGTTTATATCTTGCTGAGGTGTGTGTGTGTGTGTGTGTGTGTGTGTGTGTGTGTGTGTGTGTGTGTGTATGTCAGCCTTATCTAATTTACCGAAAATTAAAAAAGATAAAATGTTAACCCTAGTATGATATTGTTATTTTTGATTACCTTCCTTATAACACTAGAGTTTGTGCAACTCTGCAACTTTATCACGTTATATCTCTGGATTGAATATGTATTTTTTAGCTTAAAACATGTGAAATTTATACCTCCAAATCAGACAAAGACAGATAAATATGAATAAAAAAAATAACATTCTATTTTCAATTAATTACAATGCTTCAAAAAAATTTTATTGGAAAAATTCGCAGAAAATAACTACTTTGGATAAGAAATTCTCAAATTTTTTAATTTAATGTTTAAGCAAAAATTCAGGATTTTTTTAGTTAATCCTTTGGACTAAAAAAAAAATAATACGATATGAATCGCTCAAAAAAGTAATTATTTGAACTATCGAATAATTATTTGAACTATCGAAAATCGACATTTTAAAAAAATCTACATATTTTAAGTTTACAATTAATAAGTAAAATTTTATTATTTGAACAAAATATAAAAGAATAACAATATAGGCGATAAAGATTGTATAATATTATTATAATTTGTATAATTAAGTTTATTAGGATTTAGTTTAGAAGATGATGCAACACTCGCTCTAAAGCAATAAATGCGCCCCAACCAAACAATCTCCGACTGATAGAAATTATAAGATTTCTACTATTTATTATATTGAAATATAATTTTTAAATATTTGAAGGTGACTCTATAATACAAATAATACAAATAAATAATAAAAAGCATACGACAACAAATGTTAAAACGAAAATAATATATTTATTATTATTATATAAGAAACCATAGACATTTCAGTCAAGATTTGATCATTATCAGTACATAAAGACGAATAAAGAATTATAAACAAGTTTATTAATTAAAAACGCAAAATCGCTAGTTAAAGAAATGTTAATACAGTATCAAGATGACAAAGAAAGAAGTGCATAATATTAAAAAGATTATCTCAAGTCAATAAGATAGTAACAAATTCTTTTCCTTTCCATCGTTTGTGGTACGCATTAACTGAATAAAGTCCTAAGAATGAAATTTATCAATAAAAATATATGAAAAAAAGAAAAACAAAATTTTTTAATAATTTTTTTATAATAACGCATCTGACGATGAATATGTTCCGTTTTATGATTCCTTTTTTATGGAAGCAAAGAATGACTTCGTGTGAAAATACGGAGATTCTATGTAAAGTTTTTCAAGATTCTATTTAAAAATTAAGGAAAAGAAAAACGCTTTTTAATAATTAAAATATCTTAGACAATACAATGATTAATTATGAAGGTCAATCTAAATTCACATTAAAGTTCGCTTACCACATATTTTTTAACACAAGTCCTCGCTGATATAACTCTAGTATCCCAATTTTTAAAAAACCGAGAAAAATTTGAACAAAGTAAGAATCACTGCTGCAAATTTTTTGGAAGATCATAGCTCGCAAACAGTATTTATATAGGATGAAGAGAAAGAAGAATGTTAGTGAAGAGGGTAATTCTGTGTGGATAGAGAGGATTTTTCCGATAATTGGTAAGTAAATTTCAGGAAAGCGTTCTGTGTCATTTTGTTTGTTTAAGCAATTATCTTGTCGTTTAATATGGATCATTTCGGAGACCATCCTTTTTAGTTCTATATTTTCATGTACTTACTTTTATATTATCCGAAACTCAGTAAACGTATATTTAATAAAAAATAAAGAGTTACTCAAAATGCCGAAAACGTACAAGCTAATCATATGGGTCCCAAGTACCTCTTTGAACTTTCGTATATTCTCATATCGAGAATAATGCAAAAAAAAATATCTTTATAGGCTTATCATATCTATAGACAGTATGGTTAAAGTTTTTTTTTTTTCAGCATCTCAATCTGGATCTTCAAATTATATTATAAAAAAGTTACAACAATATAAAAAATCGCATAGATTGAACCGAATATCACACTAGGGTTAAAACTTTAATAAATGTAATAAATTATTTCCCTGTAAGCATCAACTAAAAATAGCATTAATGTTATAACTTCACACTCAACAATGTAAATGTAATATAATACATAATGTATATATAGTATAATATATATATATAGTATAATGATTACATTGTTGAAT